CCTTCAGAACACACCATGGCCACTTCGAGTTCCTGGTCATGCCCTTCGGTCTTAGCAACGCGCCCTCCACATTCCAGGCCCTGATGAACGAGGTGTTTCACTCCCATCTCCGCAGATTTGTCTTGGTATTTTTCGACGACATCCTAGTTTATAGCAAATCGTGGGTAGAGCACATGCAGCATCTGCGAATTGTTCTTGAACTCCTACAACAACATCAGCTCTTCCTCAAACGGTCAAAATGCTCCTTTGGGGAATGCAGGGTCCTTTACTTAGGACATGTGATTAGCGGTCAAGGGGTCACTGTGGATGACTCCAAGATTCAGACCATCAAAGAATGGCCCAGACTGCAATCCGCCAAGGCCCTCCGCGGTTTCCTAGGGCTGACAGGCTACTACCGCAAGTTCGTTCACAATTACGGACTGCTAGCAGCCCCGCTAACAAGCCTGCTCAAGAAAAACGCCTTCCTCTGGGACGGTACAGCTGAAGCAGCCTTTGTAAAATTAAGAGAAGCCCTCTCCTCCACACCAGTTCTACAGTTGCCAAACTTTGATCTTGAGTTCACAGTGGAGTGTGACGCATCCGGCACCGGCATAGGCGCAATACTACAGCAACAAGGGCATCCAATCGCCTTTTTCAGCCGCAAGCTGGCCGACCGTCACCTTAAGTTGCCCGCCTACGAACGAGAACTTATTGGCCTAGCTAAGGCTGTGCAGCACTGGAGGCCGTACCTGTGGGGAAGATCTTTCATAGTCAAGACGGACCATTACAGCCTCAAATATCTGCTGGAACAACGACTCACCACCTCGCCACAGCAGCATTGGGTCAGCAAACTCCTTGGATTTGACTTCCGGGTAGACTACAAGGCTGGGGCCTTGAACCGTGCCGCAGATGCCTTGTCCCGCCGAGAAGACGACATGCTACTCCATGCAATCTCACAGCCCCGAGCCTCCCTGCTGGAAGACATTCAGAATGAACTGCCACAGTCACCTGAATGGAATGATCTGCTCAAGAAAATACAGGCGGGAACGGCCAACTCAAATTGGAGAATGCAGGACGGGTTGGCACTGTACAAGGGCCGAATTTATCTTCCAACCGACTACCCCTTAATTCCCTCTGTTATCTCCAGCATACACAATGCCACGCATGAGGGTATCCAAAAAATACTGCACCGCATCCATGCAGATTTCCACTGGCAGGGCATGAAGGTTTCAGTACGGGACTTCATCCAAAACTGTTCAACGTGCCAACAGCAGAAGTGGGAAAACTTGCACCCAGTAGGCCTTCTCCAACCCCTCGCCCTCCCCACTCAGATCTGGGCAGATATTTCCATGGACTTCATCGAAGGCTTACCCAAGGTGGGAGGGAAATTGGTGATATTTGTGGTGGTGGACCGCTTCTCAAAGTATGCCCACTTCCTTCCCTTATCTCACCCCTACAGCGCGGTTTTAGTGGCCCACGCCTTCTTCGGCCACATCTTCCGATTACATGGGCTACCCGAATCCATTGTAAGTGACAGGGACCCGATCTTTACCAGTGCCTTCTGGAAGGAGCTCTTCCGACTGCAGGGAACAGACCTAGCCTTCTCCTCCGCCTACCATCCACAGACTGACGGCCAAACAGAGGTGGTGAACCGAACAACAGAGATGTACCTCCGCTGCCTTGTGGGAGACCAACCCAGGCGCTGGGTGGAGTGCCTTCCGTGGGCCGAATACTGTTATAACACGTCCTACCACTCCTCCCTTGGCATGACTCCCTTCCGGGTGGTATATGGCCGAGACCCTCCCCGTCTCTTATCTTACGAACCAGGCTCAACACGGATGGAAGAAGTGGATCGCAGCCTCCAAGATCGCGATGCCCTCCTGGCCGAAGTCTCCTTGCGCCTACAACAGGAACAGGCGCGCATGAAGCACGCCTACGATCAGCACCACCGCGAAGTCACCTTTGAGCCGGGACAGTTCGTTTGGCTGAAGTTCCAACCCTACTGGCAGCTCTCCCTCAGGCGTCAAGGCCCCCCCAAGCTAGCCCCAAAATTTTACGGGCCCTTCAAGGTTCTCAGGCAGATCGAGAAGGTTGCTTATCAACTCGAGCTACCGGAGCACAACAGAATCCATGACATCTTCCATGTGTCCCTCCTGAAGCCTTTTACAGGGACTCCCCTGGATCAAGTGCCTCCCCTACCACCTCTAAAGGATGGCAGACCCATCCTCCAACCTCGAGCTCTTGTACGATCACGCATCAATCAGGGTACCTTCGAGGTTCTAGTAGAATGGGACGGACTACCATCAGCTAAGGCCACTTGGATTCCCTGGACCGATCTTCACAGTGCCTACCCAGAACTCGAGCTTAAGGACAAGCTCGTTGTCCAGGAGGGGTGTGATGTTATGGACGCACCGCTCGACAGTGCGCTGCGGCGCAGCCATAGGCAGTAGCACGCATAGCAGCACGCACCGCCCGGCGGCGCGCGGCGGCAAAGTCATAGGCAGTAGCACGCACCGCAAGGCAGCAGCACGCACCCCACGACAGCAGCACCGTGAGGCGCACGCACCATCAGCAGCAGTAGTAGAGCGGGGCCCACATGACAACTCATCAGGGTGGGCCCCACCTTATCCTACCACAACTTCTCTGCTCGCCATCCGCCAGCTACACTTTCCCTCATGCCTTATCCTTATCTTATCTGTTCTTAGTAGGAGTTGTATTATCATTAGAAGTAGGCAATCTGTTTAGAAGTAGGAGTTTGAGTTTGTTAAGGATTCCCCAGTCTAGCCGAATCCAACAAGGAATTCCCTTTGTAATCTCCTATTTAAGGAGCTATGAGTGGAAATAAATTCATTCAGTTTTCAAGCAAGAAAGGTGTTAGGAGAGTTCGGGTGATCTCTTGTACAAATCACCCACGCGATTGCCACTATAGGGTCTGTACGCAAAGGGAAGGGCAAGGGAAGACAGGAGTCTCTCCCGGTGGACCAACCCGTGAGGAGATCCTACACCCGGGCCCATAACAATATTCCTCAGCTTATGTATTCTTAGCCCATGTTTCCAGCATGCCAGCTTTATTTGTTAAATTGCAGATCTTTCTTGCTCATTAATAGACCGTCTCTTGTTTGCACTGAAAAAAAAACAAAGTATGAGCAATCCCTTGAGTCAATGAGGTGCTTCATTGCAATAGATTAGAAGGAAATAGAGTTGTATTACAGGCATGTTCCAATTTATGGTAAATCAAGCAATTGCAGTTCCATTCCATCCTTTACTGGTTGAATGAAAGGTTCTGATGAGTGATGAATGAGGAAGTCCTGAAAACATAAAGGCAGAAAATCTTGACTCAACTAGCAATGGATTCTCTAAAACAATTTAGAGATGGAAGGAAATTTTAGCTGTCAAGAATTATCAGAAACTGACCTTGATTCTGAAGATAAGGATATCTTGGGAAGTGACATTGGTTTTGAAGACAGCAATGATAGTAATGAATTTAGTTCTGATAATGAAGAAAGCAATCCACAAGAAGGCTCTATATCTATTTTAGGTTCACCATCAATGTTTAGACTTAGATGGGACTCATAATTGAAAAGTGCCAACTAATGGGCTATGGAACTTGGAATAGCTGTATTGGGGAGGTTATCTATGTAGTGACACTGTGATTGACGCTGATGTTAGGAACCAAGATGAATGAAGGTGTGACCTTTCCAAATTCGACCTTTCAAGCATAAAGAAGAAGGCTGTGTCCTACCTGAGGTGTAAAGGGGGAGCTAGTGAGTTTCTTTTGTTTTTTTCCTTTCTATTTTTTTTTACACATAGAGTGAATGATAGAGGTATTTTGTTTCACCAATAATCCCCACAAGAACAGGATCCATCTTCAAAATGGTGGAATCTGTTCCGATCTCTCACCACGATTTTCCTTTGTGTGATTTTTGCAATTAACTTGATCATTGAGTGACAGTCATTGCACACTCTTAGGTTCTTCACTATCCTTAGTGTGGTCCTTGGTTTGGTTGATATTAGCCCATAGCATATTGCAAGCCGCTCACTGTGGATTGCCAATGCCCACTCCTTCTCCCCATCCCCTATGTCCTGCAAAACTTCCTCTGTGGCTGGAGAATACCCTTCTGATTTCAAAATTATGTTCAACTCCTCTAACTTTTTGTAAACTGCTTCCCTCTGGGGGTGTTTGAGGTCCCCCAAAAGAAACTCATGGATCTCATTATTCACTTCAATTGAGCTGCAACCTGGTTCCTTCTGAATTCCACTCTCTTTCATCTTTGCCCTCACCCGTGCTGCTTCCTCCCATTTCCCAGATGAAGCATAGACATTTGATAGAAGAACATAAGTTCCCGAATCAGCAGCCCCACCTTCAACTAATATTTTTGCAGCCAGCTCTCCTAGTTTCAGGTTTCCATGGATCTTGCAGGCACTAAGCAATGCTCCCCATATAATGTGGTCTGGTGCCACTCTCATTCTTCCAATAAAGTCATAAGCCTCTTCAAGATGGCCAACGCGACCAAGGAGATCCACCATGCATCCATAGTGTTCAATTCGTGGTTCAATTCCATAGTCTCTGGTCATGGAATGGAAGATCTTGAAACCTAGGTCAACCAAACCCCCGTGACTACAGGCATTCAGAACACCAACAAAGGTAATGTAGGTTGGTTTCAACCCTTGCTTCACCATCTCCTGAAAGAGCTCAATAGCTTCACTGCTCCTCCCATGCATGGCAAGTCCTACAATCATCGAATTATATGTCACAACATCTTTTTCAACCATCTCCACAAACAGTTTTTGAGCTTCATCTAAACTACCACATCTTGAATACATGCTTATGAGAGCTGACCTCACAAACTGATTCAGCTTGATGTTATACTTGCCCACATAAGAATGAATCCATTTTCCAAGTTCTAGCGCTCCCAATTGTGAACAAGAAGATAGAACACACACAATAGTAACTTCATTAGGTCTCACACCATCCCTCTGCATTTCCCTAAAAAGCTCCAAGGCTTTGTTCATCTCTCCATTTCTAACAAATCCATCAATCATTGCTGTCCAGCAGACCGTGTCTTTGACTGGAACCTGATAAAAAAGTGCATATGCATCATTGATCAACCCATGATTGACGTAACAAGATATCATTACAGTTGAAGCAACAACATCTCCCTCAGGCATTTCATCAAAGACTTGTCGTGCATCCCTGAATTCCCCACATTTGCCATAAAATTCCATCAATTTCATCCGAACAAGTCTATTGGAATTGAGCTGCAACTTTAAGACCCGACCGTGAACTTCCCGCCCCTCCTTCAAGGCCAATTTGTATCCACAAGCTTTCAGAATGGACGTGATTGCATATGGATCAGGTTCGACGAATTCACCCACCATTCTAGAGTATGCCCGAATTCCATCAAGATAAGCACCAGTTGAAACATATCCATCAATAAGAGCAGTGAACAGATACACATTAGGGTCTTCAATCTGGTTAAAAACTTTGGTAGCATAATCCATGGAATTGTGGTTGAAGCAAAGACGAATCATCTCAAACAGTACAAAAGGGTCTTGCTCGTGGCCGTTTCTGATTATTCTAGCATGTAAAGGGTGGACTTCGCTGATATTTCTGCACTTCTGCAACTGGGTGATGATTCCATATCGATCATCGGAGTTTCTTCTATTTGAATTTGAATATGGCAGGAAGGGAGATGTGCTAGCAGCGACCAGGGTGAGGGAACCCATTGGCCAATCTGTTCTGTCTTGTGTAGCCTTTCTCGTGCGGGCGGGGGTATATCGACTTGCGCTCAAGCGAGGACGGATTTACTGCTTTGGACCACTCGTTTTTCTAGAGACCCGTTTTTCTACATGTTACTCGAACAACGGTTTAACCCGCTTTTCCTATTTTTTATTTAGATCTAAAACTCTGAAAATAAAAAACCCGTTCTTGGGCCTTCCCACCGGACAGGACCCACACCCCTATATTGCGAGCGAGGTCACATCAGCGCTTGTACGGAACTGATTTGGGGGAAAACTTTAGCTGTTGGGGGGCCAAGAGCATATGCTGTCGAGATAGTTTCTATAAATTACTAATGATATTTTAATTTATTTTGACTAAATATCAAAGCATGGGCGTGAATAGGTGAACTGCCTAAAACGCGCCCACCCTAGAAACTTTCTCAACAGCCTATGCTGTTGAACCCCAACCCCAAAGTTAACCCCGTGTGCCTCACATTGACCTCTTGGCCATACATCATAAACATCTCTTGTGCCTGTATTTATTATTCATGGGGAGATGTTCCCAATATAGGGTGGGATGTGGCTGTGAGGCATGCTCTGTGAGATGTGGGGTGCCTCTTGTGGGGAATTGGGGCCTGTTCCTTGCAGTGCTCTCCTCACACTAACCTTATAGTCACAATCACATCCCACCGTGTATTAGGAATATTCTCCCCGTGATAATAAATACAAATATGAGAGGTGTTCCCAATGTGCAGCCAAAACATGTTGTGAGGAGTAGATCCAGACCCCTTATGGGGTGTTGATGTGATCTCCCTATATGCCATGCCAACCTAAAAGACCTTTTAGCCTTTGAATGATTGAATCTTCGATACAATTAATATTTGTTATGGGAAATTTATGGCCTAATCTAGAAACCTTGAGGAATTTTTATTGGTTTTCTAAATGTATATTCTAAATTATGAATTCTAACGCAATGTTTGGTTTTGTGGGCATTTATTGAAAAAAACACTGCCACAGCCACACGTAGGTGTTGGCGTTCATTGTGTATGAAAGCACTATTTGGTTTCAACATTTATCAAATAAACACTAAAAAATGAAAACACTTTGGTTTATGTGCATGGGGGAACTTCAAATTTTTGTTTCCCCCAATGCTTGGGCATTTTAGGTGATGTTTTGTTCCATGGGTGTTTATTGAAAAAATGCCACCACATCAGTGCCACATAGGCATTGGCGTCTATTGCATATCAAACCACTGTTTGGTTTCACCATTTATCAAATAAATACCAAAAATCGAAACACTTTAATTTTTATGCATGGGGTATTTGGGGAAACATTAAATTCTCGTTTTCCCTAATGCTCCATCATTTTTTGAAAGGAAATGCTTATGTGGCACACTTTTATGGGTGTTAATCTGACGTGAAAAGCAAAATAGTTTAAAGTAAAGCCCAACCAAACAACAAAAGCAAGAAACATTTAAAGAAAGGTTGTACAAATAATTGTTTAAAGCAATAAATGGTCTATCTATAAACGCTCACAGAACCAAACATATACAATTTGAAACAAAATGCTTATGTGGTGCACTTTAAGCTGAGGTGGAAAGTAATTTTAAGGGGTGTTACTTGAAACCCTTGTAAAACATCCAACCAAACAACAAAAGCAATAAACATTTAAAGTAATGTTTTTCAAATAAAAGTTTATTTGAGAAACACCCTGTCAATAAATGCCCATGGAACCAAACACATAATAAATGTATTATTCCAAAATCGTTGAAAGCATGCCAAAAGAACTAATTCTCTTAAAGCATGCCAATGGTAGTTTGCAAAAAGGTCTCAAAGACCTGTGCATGGGAAAAAAAAAGAAGAGAGAATGAAGGACTAAGGATCTGTTTACAGAACAAATCTGAACCAATACAAATTTTACACTTGGTTTAATTTTGCATTCCTTTATTTATAATTATGATTTGCACTCTCATCTGGTGCAAAACTTGTACCTTTTGTCTTATTTACACTCATTGATTGTAAAAATTTTGCATCTCAAAAATTGATGCAAAATTTGCACCACTTTTCTCCTATCTCAATACTGTTTACTTACACTCCCACCATGCATTTACACCAATACAAATGAAATTTCCACTATAGACCAACTAAGCCTAAAAGTTCACATGCATTATACTTGACATGAAGAAAGAAAATATTGACATGAGACATCTAAAGTATGGAATTTGCTGCATCAAAATTTCATTAGGCTGTGTTTGATTGCAAACTTGCAGTGCAAATAAATTTGCATTGATGCAAAACTATGGCAGTGCAAATGATTTGAGTGTAAATTCTGACATATTTTTGTTTCAAATTTTAGCTTATTTTGTTTGATTGCAGTGTAAATGAAATAAATTAAAACATAAATCAGAATAAAATAAAATCTAAAACAAAATTAAACGAAAATTTACATTTTTTTTTTCATTTGCACTCCCATACATTTATATTAATACAGATAAAATTGCACTGCAACCAAACACAGCCTTATACTCAAAAAGATCCTCTATTTACATCTTGTACTACAAAAAAGAAGGTCACAACACTTTCATAGATCTGCAAACAAGCGATAGAGTTTGGCATCCAGAGTTATTTGTCGAACTGCTGAAATTGTTCCCAGCAACCCCAATATGGAGAAGATCACAGAAATGAATGTATTTAACCAAAAGATTGCATTTCTTTTGGATGGTTTAAAAGTCAGATTATAGAAGACCATTGGCAAGACAAAGTCTAAAGGAATGAGACCATATGCTCCAACCAAAGCACTGAGATCTCCATAGAATGGAAACATTGCAGCAACAGTAGCAGCCATGATCACCAACAATGACCGAGAGATTAACCTTGGTATGACATTGCGGATAGAGAATTGATTGCTCTTAGGATCAGATAGCTTCTGCTCAAGCACCTCATTAATTGGTTGCAAGCAAACCTACATCAATCAATACAAATGGCTAAAAAGTGAGCTCATATTAGTTTATCTTATTGGTGTTTACTGTTTAACAGGGGTGCAACTTGGGCAAGCCCAAACAGATCCAGCCCACAATTTTAGACGGGCTGGATTTGGATCCGGTCCCCAGGCTGGGCCTGGGCCCAAGACTTAATGCTTTTTTAGTTTTCGAGATAAGGTAGCTTGTACCTAGCCTGAGTCTAGTGAGACTATATCATGTATACATACATATTTATATATTTATAGATACATACATGCATATATAAATACATGTCAAAATTCTTAGAATTGGGCCTGAGTTGATCATAAACCTGACTTGCACCCTAAGGCTATGTTTGGTTTGAAAATAAATGTTGGGAAAGGAAGGAAAATGCAGGGAAGCTTATACACAAGATTTGTAAAGGTTTCCCTTCCCTTCCTTTCCTTTTCTTTCCCTACGTTTTCCTTCAAACCAAACATAGCCCAAAGTGTTTAGTAACAAATTAAGAGGACACGATCTACTATTGCCTTTTGATTACCAAGCAAACAGCTGATACTTGTAGGAGAGTGAAGGTATTTGTCATCAAAATCGTCCACTTTGGTACCAAAGGGTTTCCATTGATCATGAAGTTTGCCAAAATGGTTTCCTGTGCTCTGTTTCCAAATGCCCAATATCCCGATATGGCAACACTAAAGAAGGTGGTTACTACCACTGCATAACAAACACATAGGCCCTTGAACATCTTCCCCTTAATTGGCGGTGCTATAGTTGCCTGAAAAGAAAGGTGAGTAAAATGTATATGCAAGTCATGACAGAAATTTTTTAAACATTCTCGAATGGTTTAAGAAAGCCTGCATTATATCAGCTCGGATCTACTCCCCACAGAGACGATACCCATGAGACGTTACAGCTGCATCTACATCGAAAACATTTCCCCTTGAATGAAAATTGAGATATTCCCGATGTGTGGCTATAGTGTCTTGTGGGTAGACGGCATTCTGAGTCATATTTAGGTGTATAACTTGGGTCGAATTGGGTTGAGAATTTGTTAAATTTTCAATGGATCCAAACCCTAAAATCAGATAACCCAATTTGTAACCTTACCTGTATTTCAGGAATGACCCCGTTCCCATATGATGTAGCAATGATGGAAATGGCATTAAGAACACCAAAAACCTGATTTATTCCATGGCCATTCACAGAATAATCCTTGGGCATTTTCATAGATTTTCCTGAGACAAAACAACCCGTGGATAAGTTTGCTTGATTTAATTTCCTAAATACAAAATTATCCTAGTTATTTGATTAATTATTTCACTGATCGTATAAGTTATCCTTACCTATGCAAATGGAACCTATAGTCACAGACATGCTGTAGGCAAGACAAAGAATTAGTGAAGCAAGATTGATATGTCGTAGGGAGTGGAATGATGGTATTTGAGCCAAAATCAGTATTAAAACTGAGAAGATAGCTATGAATTCATAAAGTTTCATCCCTCCACTTGGATTGGCGAGCAAATAAATGAACTGCAAAAAAGACCCAAATATATTTGAAGTTATTAGGGTTTAATATATTTGATACCACCCTTACAAAAGATGTAGTTTGTCCAAGTCATCAACCTAGAGTTCTCACTAAGGCTCAGTTTGGAAGAGTATAAATACAAATATGCACATTGCCAAACAAGTTTTAGAAATATAATTAAAATACATGTTTTTGAAAAGGACATATTTGTATTTGTACTCTTTCCAAACTGAGCCTAAACTTGCAATCAGAATAAAATTATAAACTCATTTCTCTTTCTTTTTCTTTTAAATAGATGCATATTTTACAGTGGATTGCTAAATAACGTTCAGTAGATGTGATGAAAAGGAAAATGAAATGATCTCTGGTTGCGCCTGATTTTCAAATATGCAATAAATAAGGTTGCATTTGAATAAGTTTCAAAATTTGTACTTCCTTTTAGGCTTTGTTCTTGGGGACGTAAGAGTGTTATGGCTTTATATTATCATGTTTGCTTTCAAAAGCACAAAGCTCCCATTTTAGGCTTTGTGCTTTAGGGGTTAAAAGTGTTTTGGCTTTACATTCTCATGCAATTAATATTTACCAAACGCTCCCCACTCTTTTTGGCTCAATTTTGTTTCCTACAACTAGCCCAAAGCTCAAAAGCAAAAATTTGTCCAGACAGAGGAGTTCGGATCTACTTCAAACAAGGGTCTCAATAACTATTGCATGCAGCCATGCATAAGGAACATCTCCCTTGTTCTTGATAGAGAGATGTACACCTGCAATGGCCGTTGGGACGTTGTGTGTTGGGACCAGATCCGAACCCAAAGAGAGCCCAATTAATTAGCCTTAAGTTCATCATAAAATGTTTTTCGGCTGTGAAACATGTAAATGTGAAATCAAGGAAAGAAAATTACTAACTTTAAGGCTCTGACCCCCAACAAGACTGGAACCAATTACTCCACCATAGCATAGTGAGAACTGAAGCGGGCCCACATAATAACGGCCCCACCTGGGTCCTGGCAATATTAAACCATTCCATACACTTGGTCAGTAAAGATCCTAACTAGTCTATATCATAAAGTGATTGATGGAAGGGGTAGCATTTCACTGCCAGAAGTAGTAGTGATTGATGCAGGATCAATTCTCAATCATATTTCTTAAAACCCTAAGCCCAGAAAACTCCTTGTAATTGAATTTGCATGTTCATGCATGAGACCCTTAAACAAAGACAGGTTATCAATGAATCAAGTTATATAGCTCAAAGAATTAATTTTAGCCACTGTGATATACTTTAATGCACCAAACTCAATAACAGTGTGAAATGTGTTGGATGATTATAAGGCAAGGATGATATTAATTAGAAACTTCACATCAAATGTTGGATTAAGTAGTACTTTACCTAATATATCTCTGGCCATGTCTCTGAAACGAAGTTGCCGCTGTCCAAGTTGTTCATGGTGCTCGAGCACCAGGGAGAGCAGATTGTAGGAATAGAATGTGACTAGAGCTCCTATAGTCAGGCAAAGCACTCCGGCAACCCAACCCAGCAAAGCAAACGCAAATGGTAAACTCAGAAGCGCCGGAGCTACAATCGAAGTTGTTAGATGATATCCACAGTGCACCCATGATCCTGCAATTTTAAACACAAACATGTAAACCCCCCTTCAGTCTTCCATGAACTTCCTCTCTCTCCCTCTCTCTCTCTCTCTATGGAACAGTTATGATTCAAGAGGACAGTAAGTAAAAAAAAGCTAAAAATCAGTATAGAAATGAAAAGGTGAAGATAGGTCCACCTCTGGATTTGAGAACAAAGAGAGCTCCAGCGTCAAGATCCTTATGAAGATGAAGTTGGGCCATGAAAGAAGAATGGTTCAATCCGGCTTCCATCAAATTTGGAAGTGGAAGAACAGTACTCATCTTTCTCTCCACAGATTGAAACTCGTAAAGGTGTATGAGACACAAGCACACAGAAGAGAAAGAAAAGGAATTTCACTTATAAGAGTAAGCATGGTCAATGGTCCAGAGCTTCTAAATTCATCAAGTACCCACTTAACACCAAAAGTCATTCTAGAAGCTCATATTCAACTCCAAGTCATACCCGCCAGGCTTGACATTTTTAGGAATCCATTCTGGCCCAAACGCACTCTCCCAATTGACTATACATATGCTTATATTATATTATTTTCTTCTTTTGTTAATGTTTTGTGTGGTGGTTATCTAGTTACATTACATATTAATTCCCCAACAAAATAACCGATAAGCCCCAAAAAGGAGATTCCCACCACGACTCGTTGACAGTCCATGAAGCCTTGCTGAAGACTGGACCACTGGCCGAACCAGATCAACCGGATCTGGACCACTCTTATCTGATGCAGAATTTCCATTTTCGTCTCAGTTTTATCAAGCGGCAGTGCAAATTTTGCATTTAAATCTGATGCAAGATTTACACCATTTTCCTTTTAGTTATCTTAATTCTCTCCCATATATAAATTTTCTACCTCATTATTTCTCCAAAAAAAAAAAAAAGCTTTTGTCATCTAAAGTAGGTATCACATCATCTACTTCCTATTTTATTTTATTTAGTATTTTGCACTCTTACGACAAATGAAGCCAAGTTGTATTTAAATTGTGTAGAAGTTTGACCAGATGTTGTTTGGCAGTTCATTCTTTTGATAGTAGACCAAATCCCACGAGGTATTTCTTATTATGATAATATGTACTCTAGACTATGGTGGACTCGCGCTATATATCCACAGGGGTCAACTCTCTCGTGATTTCTCTTTCGGATCGGAAATGATGTGTGAAGCTTAGACAAAGGAAGATTAGTATGGAAAAACAGTGGGGCCGTTTGACAAGTTTTATTTTAAAAGATCTTCTAGAAGTTCTGGTAGTTAAAAGAAGATGTAATCTTTTGTATTAAGATCTTAGCAGTTTGAAGACTACTTGGTTAAGGTGCCTCTGTTGGTGAATCTGGTTGTATGTCTTTCCGTGCAAAGACAAGTTAAAAAAAAGATAAAAAACTCTATTTGAAACTTTTCAAAAATAGTCTAAAATGGGCTTTTTCATGTCTTTTCAAGGTTGCGGCCAGATCTTTTTCTAACCAAACGGAAAAAGACTAAAATGCAAACTGCCAAACTTCTAAAAAACTGACAACATGCACGAAAATACACGTCAAATGAGGCCAGTGTTGGTTTTCTTTCCAGCTGGTATTCTCAGAGATTGACATTCATCTAAAGCACTTTGGCCATGTTTGAGTTCAACTAAAACTTGGAGATCTTGATCATAGATCATTTGATCCTGTATGGTCTGCCCTGTGTTCAGAGTGTTCATCCGCTCTCTCTCTTGGAGAGAGTTTCTCCATATGTGGCCCGTGGGACCTTTAAGGGCAGAACTGGAGTTAGGAGAGGAATCATGGCTGATGAAATTGGAGGGGTAAATAGTGGGAGATGGTTGGGTTGGTATCTATCTGTCATTCTTAAATTAAAAACATCTGTTTTTAGAAAAATTAACGTTTTGGATTGTTGCATATGATGGTTGGATTGGTATCTGTCTCCCTTCACTCTCGGATTCAGAGTCTACAGAAACCATAAATATGAACTCACATCCTTTGCATTCATGGTGCAGAAAAATTTTTGCAACTATAAATGAATTTATGCCATGTCATTCTTGCTTAAAACCATTAAACTTAATGTAGTCCATACCATTAATGGACATTTGGACTCAGAAAAATTAAAATATCTAAAACCCCACTTGAAAGAACAAAGGAAGATGAAGAACTTTTTCTACATTTGTATTGATTCAAAAGGTACAGATATATAGTGTTGGGGAAGATACACTATAGTAGTAGAAATAAGCAATCCTAGGACAGGAAAAAACTTTTCCCTAAGTTTGCGTGTTAAAATGGGTTTGTCAACAACAATGATAACAGATAAACAATTCAGCCAAATAACAGAAAATACAAATAACAACCACCATACAATAGTACATCAGAAGTTTTATGTGAAAAACCTCAAAATTGGGGAAAAAACACAGGACCTATGATCAATAAAAGTCTTCCACTAATTAAAAAATTAATGGGTACAACAGTCCTCTCTAGTTACAACTAGAGGTTTACAAACATCAAGAAAATAATCCATAGCTTATAAGTACAGCATTAACATCACCAAATGTAAGGTGGATTCAATAAAAACAAAATGTTTGTATCTCACCAAGTTGTAAATATGAAAATGAGAAGAAAGGAAAAGACAACCAATCTGAACTGGAGTGAGATTCTTGATTCTTTGAACAACACTTAATCACATCAAGAACAAGCTTGATAATACATCCGAACTTGGTCTTGAATGGAATAGAAATCAGCTCTTTGTTCTCTTCTTCACAAAACTCCAAACCCAAAAAAACCCTCAATTCCCTTTGTTTTTCTTCTCTCTTTCTCACTTTGATGGTTACAAAATGGAAGCACACCAAATCAAAAAGGTGGGAGCCTTTTTTGGCTTCCACAATGAAGCTTATGGGGTGGGCCCCTCATATTGGCTAGACCCACACCCAACATATAGAGTACAAGCTAGCTGTAACATTTATGACAATCTGAATTTTGAATATGTAGACTAAAGATTATATATGGTACATATATCAGTGGCCTAATCCTTAGTGGAGAGAAAACAAATTTGAAGAGAGCTGTTGACAACTTTTTCATATAGAAAATGTATATCCAATTTGACGTCCTTCATTCTGGCATGATAGGTTACCAAATTGTGGGTGGAGACGTGGGGGATAAGCCCATTTCAATGAGAAGCATTTGAACCCATGTAAGATCAGCAATTATAGAGGCAATACTCCCCTATTCAAACTTGGTATAGGAATAGAAAATAGTACTTTGTTTCCTAAAACTCTGTGAGATCAAAGTTGGGACCAAGATAAATGTAGAACCCACCATAAGAGCATTAGTCTTCAGGGCAATTTGCCCAATCAGCATCTAAAAAAGGTTTAAGGGTAATTGTGAAGTGAGCATGCCTTATTAGAAACCCATAATCAATGGTGTATTTAAGATATCTAAGTATCCTTTTGATAGTAGACCAATGTTTAGTGGTTGGAGCTTTTAAAAATTGGCATGCTTTATTGATAGAGTAAGCTAGCTCCGGTTGCATGAGAATCATGTATTGAAATGCGCCAACTATACTTCAATACTTAGAGACATTGGAAATGGAATCACCACTTTGTGGAGATGAGGTGAGTACAAGCTACCATGGGGGTACAGTATGCTTTTGCCTCATGCATTTGAGCTCGTATAAGAAGGTCTTGTATGTATTTGTGTTGCGAGAGATGGATATACCTTGATTGGAGCGATGAATTTCAATACCTAAGAGGTGTGGCTGACCATGGTCTTTGAGAGCAAATTGTGATTAAGATCCAAGATGATGTTATGAATGGTTGTAGGATTTGATCTTGTGATCAAAGTGTCATCAACATATATAATAAAAAAAGTAATATCTTTGACTGTATGTCGAATAAACAAGGATGCATCAGTTTTGGAGTCAAAGAATATAAGAGTGAGAAGATAATAACAAAAGCATTTAAACTATACTTTAGGAGTCTGTTTGAGTCCATATAGAGCTTTATGAATTTTGTAGATATAATCAGGGTGTCTTGGATCAACGAATCTAATAGGTTAGTGGCCATGGAAAAAAGCATTGTTAACATCCAATTGATGGCTTAATCAGAAAGAGATAACTTAAATTATGGCTGGTTTTATGATTGGGCTAAATATTTCTTCGTAGTCAAGCCCAATGGCTTGGTTGTAGCCCTTCACCACTAAGTGGGCTTTGAAGCAGTCAATTAATCCATTTGGTTTTCAGTTGATGCAATAGACCCATTTGTTGCTAATGACAGTACTGCATGCGACCAGCGAGTGGTGGGACTAGAGTCCATGTTTTGTTGTGAAGAAGGACTTAATAGTCTTCAGTCATGGGAAGCAGATAGAGGAGGTTTTTGTGAGCAATGGTGTAGCATGTGGGTTCTGTTTCAGGTAATGAGCTAGCTTGTAAGGCATATTTGGGGTTAGGTTTGACAATGTTATGTTTGGACTGAATTACCATGGGGTGATATGGTTCAGAAGGTGAAGCAACATTAGATATAAAAGGGGATGAAATGAGAGCAAGCGAGGTGGAAGGGGATTGGGCTGACAGTGTGGGTTGTGGTGGTAATGATGAATATGGAGAAGGTTGAATAGGTGGGCTTGAAGTAAGTTGTGTTTGGATGAGAGAGGGACCTAGGTTGGAACATGGGAAGTGTACAGGTGGGGGCCCAAGAATGGATGGTTGAGGAGGCGTGGTAGGATGAATGGTAGAGGGAGCTTTATTAGCAAAGGGAATACTTTGTTCATCAAACACCACATGTTTGGAAATGTAAATTTGTGTTGTTGCTATGCCAAGGCATTTATAATCACGATGTTGACTATTGTAACCAAGAAAAATAAAAAGAAAAACCGAATATTGAAGTTTGTTGTGCTGATATAGATGAATGTAAGGATAGCAAGAGCACCCAAAAACATGAAGAAACATATAATTTGCAGTAGAGCCAAATAATTTTTCACATGGAGCTAGAGACCATGTTAGTGACTCAGGATGGCATGATGTTAATCAGATGTACCATAGCTTCAAAAGCAACAACCCAATATGGTTGTAGAATAGATTAGGTGGAAAGAAGTATGAGGCCCATTTCAACAATGGGTTGATGATGACAAAGTTTAGAATATGTGGGCATGTGAATCAGTGAGAGATGCCATATTCTTAGACAAAAGGATGAGGGTGGTCTTCTCTACTACCAACAATATATGTAAGTTTTTTATTTTGCAATTTAACTTGTTTTCAATAAAGGCCTTGAATTGAAGAAAAATAGATAAGTGTAACTTGGGGCTTTCAAGTCATCAGAAACTGCCATGAATATTTTG